AGTTCCATTATTCTACACCGCCGTTCCAAAACATGGGTATACAGAATGTCAAGTCACAAGAATAAAAATGGGAAATTTCTCAGTTCAATATCGTGTATGGCCGCCCCGCGCATTCACCATAGCCAAACACCGTCTCCTCATCGACTGCCTGATGCTTGTGAAGACGTGGTTTGGGATTCTGCGCCATTGCTCTTGCAAGGCAGCTCCAAGTTCCTGCAAATTCTGAGGTTGGTTCCTAAGACCACGAAGCCTTCTCCCAAGTGCATCCCAAACGTGCTTTATTGAATTAAGTCAGGGGACCTCGATGGCCATTCCATGATGTTGATTCCAGCGTTTTTAAGGAAATTTCGTGTCAACATCGCGGTATGCGGCCGAGCATTATCATGCTGGAACTGTAGACCTGGGTGCCTTTCTCGAAAGTGTCCCAGCTAAGACAGATCCTAACTAGTTAGGACAGGAGTTAGGACATCCTACCGTTAGGATAAGACCCATTCTCGAAACGATCCTGTCTCTGTCCTAACTTGAGCTACCGATCCTAGCTAGGATAGCGAGCTCTTCAGAAGGTGAGAAAGAAAAACATTAATTAAGTTGGGGATTCCCCTAAATATCACTTAGGAAATAAACAGGAGTTACTTCCCCCATCAAGTTGGCCTTGACATTGAAATTTCACGGCAATGTGACAGTAAAGTTGTGATTAAAAAGGCCGAGAATAAGGTAAGAACTGAAGAAATCTCTTTTGTAGATCTAAAGAATATGTGCATTGCATATGTATCATTACCGATACATTGATAATGTATACACAAAAAAACTCTTCTTAACACAAAACTGTGTGCTGTTGTAAATTCAAATGGAATTTAGGCGAGATTTTTTGTTTGACAACGTCAAAATTGGTGAACAAACAAGAACCACACCATGTTGACTTCCACTAAGATAGACTTAGGACAAGTTACAACCTATCCTAGTATTTGTCCTAAGTTAGGATATCCTAGCGCTAGGATATTTTCCGAGAATAAGGTAGGACACCTATCCCAGACCCGAGGAGGAAAGTTAGGATATCCTAGGGCTAGGATCCTTTCGAGAATAGGGGCCCTGGGCCATGAGCCGCCATGAAAGGAACGAGTTCAGGGGTGAGCACTTGGTCGAGGTAAGCAGCAGCTGTGAGGTTTCCACGGGTGACCAGAAGTCGGGAACGGTTGTTTCAACAGAAAGCACCCCACACCATGTAGCTTTCGCCCCCGAATCTGTCGACTTCTGTACACAACATTGGGCATACCATTCACGACGTCGTCTCCAGACTCTATGCCTGCCGTCCGCGAATCTGAGGGTAAAATGGATTCATCGCTAAAGACGACTCGATTCCAGTCTCTCTGGGTCCATTGGAGGTGACGTTGGGCCCACAGCAGACGTTGACGTTGATGAAACGGCGTCCATATTGGCCCACAATATGGACGTCGAGAATGGAGATTGGCAGCCCGCAACCGATTTCGAATGGTCTGTGAGGACAGTCGACCTCTAAACATCTCAGCCCTGGTTCGTGTAGCTGTAGGTGACGTAGGACGATTTGACGGTCTTTTGCTCGAGACGTCACACGTGAACGACCCGACCTTGGGCGATCAGAAGTGGTGCCAGTTTGTTGTAGACGACCTCGCAAGTCATACACAGTATGACGGCTGCATCCCATTGCTCTTGCGACGTCAATAACTGATCTTCCCGCTTGCAACATGCCAATGGCACGTTCACGTTGCACATTTGACAATCGTGTCATTTCAAGTACCGTTAGAACTGTGGTTTAAAAGTGTGTTTTTTCAATTCTTTAGGCCAATGCAAACACGTGCATATGAAGAAAACTTCGATGCGAAGATCACGTGATCGACTACACGTTCAAAACCTGATTTGGCACTAACATCATTTGAACAACAAATGGATGGGTTTGAGTGGGTTTTGCTTACCTTTTTCTAGAGTCGAAAGATAGGGATCCCATTTCGGATACATAAATGTATCATCAGAAAAAAATTATTCATTATTTTTCAAATTACATTTTGTGAAGTTTCTTTTTTGACTCAGTATATAATAAAAATGAGCCCAGGGGCTGTCTACATTTTTCCTGAAACTTTGGTATTCTGAACTTAACATATATTCTAGACTTGCAAGGGCTGTATTGGGTATATTAGATTATAGGTACACTAGGTGTGCTGGTCCCAGATCTCTGGTGAGACACATCCTTAGGGCTTACAGGACGAACATAGGTACCCAGCAATCTCACATTGTTATAAGAGGCGAAGTACTGACTGGGTTAATTACCGGGTGCCGTCATAGAGCGTGAATATTGAAAAATGACAATAACACAGTTATAACGAGGCCAAGATTGTGGTCTGTTATCATACAGAGGAGTATTTTCTCACTGTGTTTTAATTTGCCATGCTTAGGGACCGTTTATAACTTATTGCTAGGGGGTTGATGATGAGTTATATGTAGAAGTATCTGCGATGTGAATGACCCCCCTAAATTTTTTGTTAATGACACACCTTGCATGCCATGTACAAAATCAATGACACCCCACCATAATTTCTTAGCATAAATTTTATATATTGCTATGTACAAAATTCATGAGTCCCCTTCCCCAAATTACCCACAACTAAATGGGTGACGCCCCCTTAAAATCACCACTATAATTACCCGCCCCCAACCCCTTAGCCATATATTATGAACATTCCTATAGCGTGAAGAATATATGATTACATATGAATGGAAATAGTAACAATGTCCCACTGAACTGTCAAAGACAGCTCACAACTCAACATCATGGGGGAAGGGTGTTGGTGAAGGGTGTCTGAGTCCTCCTTATGAAGACACCCGGTGTGTATCAGTGGGACAGATAGACACTGATGAATGTGGGCGGGGGTGAAACACTGTTTCTGGAATTACGAACAAGCGCTGAAACTTGATTCTGTGAAGGTTGTCATCACTGTATCAACCAATCAGAAGACACCTAGACATGCGCACTGGCACAGTCATTCCAGTTTTGGCGCGACTATATAAGATTGAGAATGCGGCTGTGTTTCTATCCGCTCGTTCATTTCGATCAGAGAACAGCATTGTTACAATGCCACGAGTAGGGGAATTTCGTCTGGGTCTGTCGGTCCAGCCAAGGGAAAGCGCCTGCCTCTGTCCAAATCTAAATGTAAACACCCATGATTGTGTACTCTAGCTGTTTTAACGCCAAGTAAATACTAATCAAAATATATGTTCATGTGAGCATCAGCTTCTGCTCTAATATACATGTGCCAAAACACAAGAATAATGTTGCTGTAAGTAAGCATATATAATGAAACCTACTAATAAAGACTCTTGCGATGACACTGTAAATAAAATGTTGTCAATTTGACAATTTTAGCGTTGTCATTATTGATTTGACAATTATAAGTAGTCAGTTTGAACATTGACATGTTGTTATTGTGACAACATTGCGAGTCTTATACTGACTGCTTTAAAACAAACTTTCATTAGATATGATATTTAGATAGTGTTGACGATCATGTTTATAGTTGAACCACGCGTTTTACACAGGATATGTGTTGACAATAGTTTATTGTAAAAGCATTGTCATATTGTGAGTTTTCTCAAACTTTGACAATACAAGGTTGTCAAACTTGACGGATTGAGCGCATGCGCAGTTCCAATGTCCTTCACAGCGAAGGTCACAGTACATGAGTTGCGACGCGTCAGCAGCGTCAAAGTGAGCTGGAAAGGTGGTTATAGTAAGTATATGCAAAACACTTTTACAATTTCCTTTCATTAGATAACTATAGAGTACGAATACAGTGTTTCTGATTCTCGCATTGTCCATATTAACGGAAAATCATGAAGAAATGTCTCAACTGGTCAGCACACAAATTTGTGCACACATTCCGAAGAATAACTGGCCAAATAGCATTAGATATAACACAAATATCTGTCGAGCAATAACATTTAGTACTTACGTGTGCTTGAGAATGTCAACCCATACAAAATATTCTTATAAGTTTCTTTTAAGATTCTTATAAGTTTCTTATAAGATTCTTATAAGTTTCTTATAAGATTCTTATAAGTTTCTTATAAGAAACTTATAAGAATTTTGTATGCAAATTAGATAAGAACTTATAAGATTCTTATAAGATTCTTATAAGATTCTTATAAGATTCTTTTATGAATGCTATAAGAAACTTAGAAGATACTTATAAGAATCTTATAAGAAACTTATAAGATTCTTATAAGATTCTCGCATATTCAACCAGTAACAACCATAGTTAGAGCTGATGACCGTTTTCACAGCAACGCAAAGCTACACTGGCATTGCAGGCTTTCTCCCTTCAATAACACTTGAAGGCGGCATTAAACACCAAATGAGGTTTACCTCCCCTCAAATGTTCAATAAAATGTCTAACAGGTTCTGGAAGTCAAAGTTATTATTGTAAATCTATCTGTAAATGATCATTGTCATTATACTACTCGTGACGTCATACAATATTATTAGAAACAAAAAGCTCTGTTCAGTTGGCCATGTGAGCAAGAGCAATATTGATTCAACAAACAAAATTCAACATACAGGCATTAGACATATTATTCATCTTTAATTAGATCACAACGAACAAGTGTATTTATTGTAAAACATTTAAAACATGAGATTTCAATGCATTACTTTCTTTGAGCTAACGCTATTGTCATTTAAAGAACAAACAGATTTAACAGTTTTAATTTTAAACCAATGCTGTAGTTTTGTAATAGATACATTTGGCAAAAAGAGGTAGTGTTATAGTTGTCAGGGGTAGAAGTTTAGTGTCGCTCAGTACTTTGGTGAGGTAGCTCATGATTCAATGGAATGTGATAAAACTCCACTCCCTACATCAATTGTCAGTGCCATGGTACAATACAATGGTACACAACATAACACAGATACAGTTTTATGGCCTTTATCTGGAGCCCTCATGTACTGAAACCTGTATCACTGGTCGTAGTAACAGTCAGAGGTCAGTAGTGATCACACGGTTCTTGTTTTTTTTCCGTGAGTCCGCACACTGGCAGTTGATGATTTGAACCAACTCTCTCTCTGTTGTCTTCGGGCTCTTTGATAACACAAACCCTGTAATGAAAAGATTGATTAAAATCAGTTTAATTTAGCTGTATTATGTTGCACAATATTGACAATGTTTGTATCAACAGTGTTACAATATTTCATTTGATAACTGGTGCAAAGTAGCTTGAAATGTACAACTGTTTAAAAAAAAGATTTTTATCTATATATAAATGATGTGACAAACAATTTATAACTGAGTAGAAACACACTGCCCAAGTTACATTGAAGAATTTAGTTTGCTTTACCTTCCTTATATGAATATATTTAAATATCCACTGTAACTTTTATTACAATTGTTTATATTTCATTGCTGTGGACCTATTTACACAAACTTGTATAACACAATAATTGTATATAAATACAATGTATAGAGGTGTTAAATTCTATATTTCCATATGCTTTTACACTTTTTGGGGCTAAATTTTGCAAGGTCTTTAATAGAATTACCCTTTATTGCTGCCACTGTCATTGTTGGCAAAGCAGCCTTCGTCCCCTTCCCTTCTGCCGAAGATTCCCCAAGCTCCTGGTCAGAAAAAAATGCATGGAGCAAATTTCTGACCAGCTTGGAAGTCGATCCCTTGGCGGAAGAAAGGCAGGCGTCTAGGACTATTTTCTTCACCATTACCCCTCCGCCAAGGTCAACAAGGTCAGCTTCACATGATAGTGATGACGGAGTGGTTGCCTGGGGTGACGGAGGTGACAGTGATGGGGAAGGCGGCGGCGGGGCTGGTGGAGACATAAGCCTGGATTTCGGGGGAGAGGAGAAAGCAGAAGGTCGAAGAATGAATGTTGATTTGCTTGGCTGCGGCAGTGTTTCTGTGGCTTGAATGACTGGACATAATCCTGCCAGTTGACTAATAAATTTTTGTACACCTTCTGACCTCAGAGAGGATGCCAGAGCACCATTGCATGGGCATGCCTGAATTATCTTTGGCTGTTCAAGTCTGGCAAGGTTGGCTTGCATGGCAAAGAGTTCTTCATCCTTGTCCTTCATTAACTGCTCCTTCTCCTTTATCATCTGCTCCTTCTCCTTTATTAACTGCTCCTTCTCCTTTATTAACTGCTCCTTCTCCTTTATCATCTGCTCCTTCTCCTTTATCATCTGCTCCTTCTCCTTTATTAACTGCTCCTTCTCCTTTATTAACTGCTCCTTCTCCTTTATTAACTGCTCCTTCTCCTTTATTAACTGCTCCTTCTCCTTTATCATCTGTTCCTTCTCCTTGATGATTTCCTCATTCTCCTTTATTAACTGCTCCTTCTCCTTTATTAACTGCTCCTTCTCCTTTATTAACTGCTCCTTCTCCTTTATCATCTGTTCCTTCTCCTTGATGATTTCCTCCTTCTCCTTTATTAACTGCTCCTTCTCCTTTATTAACTGCTCCTTCTCCTTTATCATCTGCTCCTTCTCCTTTATCATCTGCTCCTTCTCCTTTATTACCTGCTCCTTCTCCTTTATTAACTGCTCCTTCTCCTTTATTCACTCCTCCTTCTCCTTTATCATCTGTTCCTTCTCCTTGATGATTTCCTCCTTCTCCTTTATTAACTGCTCCTTCTCCTTTATTAACTGCTCCTTCTCCTTTATTAACTGCTCCTTCTCCTTTATCATCTGTTCCTTCTCCTTGATGATCCTTCCTCCTCCTTTATTAACTGCTCCTTCTCCTTTATTAACTGCTCCTTCTCCTTTATCATCTGTTCCTTCTCCTTGATGATTTCCTCCTTCTCCTTTATTAACTGCTCCTTCTCCTTTATCATCTGTTCCTTCTCCTTGATGATTTCCTCCTTCTCCTTTATTCTCCTGCTCCTTCTCCTTTAATTGCTCCTTCTCCTTTATCATCTGTTCCTCTCCTTGATGATTTCCTTCTCCTTCATGTGCTCCTTGTCTCCTTCTCCTTTATTAACTGCTCCTTCTCCCTTGATAACTGTCCTCCTTCTCCTTTATCATCTGCTCCTTCTCATCTGCTCCTTCTTCTCCTTTATTAACTGCTCCTTCTCCTTTATTAACTGCTCCTTCTCCTGTTCTCATTCTCAGTTCCTCCTTCTCCTTCTTATTCTCATGTATTAACTCCTCCTTCTCCTTTATTAACTGCTCCTTCTCCTTTATTAACTGCTCCTTCTCTCCTTTATTAACTGCTCCTTCTCCTTTATCCTGTTCCTTCTCCTTCTCTCATCTCTCCTTCTCTCCTTGACTGTCCTTCTCCTTTTCTCCTCCTTCTCATTAATGTCTCCTCCTTCTCCTTTATCATCTTCTCCTTCTCCTTTGTCTGCTCCTTCTCCTTCCTCCTTCTCCTTTTCATCCTCCTCTCTTTGTCTGCTCCTTCTCCTTTATTAACTGCTCCTTCTCCTTTATCATCTGCTCCTTCTCCTTTTATCCTCCTCCTTCCTCCTTTATGGTCTCCTCCTTCTCCTTTATTAACTGCTCCTTCTCCTTTATCATCTCCTTCTCCTTCTCTCCTTCTCCTTTATTTCCTCCTTCTCCTTTATCTAACTTTCTCCTTCTCCTTCCTTCTCCTGCTCCTTCCTCCTTTATCATCTGCTTTCCTTCTCCTTGATCCTTTCCTCCTTCCTTCTATTAACTGCTCCTTCTCCTTTCTCTTAACTGCTCCTTCTCCTTTATCATCTGTTTCTTCTCCTTGATGTTCCTCCCTTCTCCTTTATTAACTGCTCCTTCTCCTTTATCATGCTCCTTCTCCTTGATGATTTCCTCCTTCTCCTTTATCATCTGTCCTTCCTCCTTCTCCTTTTTATTAACTGCTCCTTCCTCCTTTATCATCTGCTCCTTCTCCTTGATGATTTCCTCCTTCTCCTTTATCATCTGCTCTCCTTCTCCTTCTCATTAACTTCTTCTCTTTTCATGCTCCTCCTTCTCCTTTCTTCTCCTCCTTCTCATGTGTCCTCCTTCTCCTTTATTATGGTGGTTGCTCCTTCTCCTTTATTAACTCCTTCTCCTTTATCTTCTCTCCTTCTCCTTTATTAACTGCTCCTTCTCCTTTATCATCTGTTCCTTCTCTTGATGATTTCCTCCTTCTCCTTTCCTTAACTGCTCCTTCTCCTTTATTAACTGCTCCTTCTCCTTTATCATCTGTTCCTTCTCCTTGATGATTTCCTCCTTCTCCTTTATTAACTGCTCCTTCTCCTTTATTATCTGCTCCTTCTCCTTTATCATCTGTTCCTTCTCCTTGATGATTTCCTCCTTCTCCTTTATTAACTGCTCCTTCTCCTTTATCATCTGTTCCTTCTCCTTGATGATTTCCTCCTTCTCCTTTATTAACTGCTCCTTCTCCTTTATCATCTTCTCCTTCCTTCTGATTGTCCTCCTTGATATTATCTTCCTTCCTTTCTCCTTCTCATTCTCCTTATCTCCTTCTCCTCCTTTATCATCTGCTCCTTCTCCTTTGATTATTTCCTCCTTCTCCTTTATTAACTGCTCCTTCTCCTTTATTAACTGCTCCTTCTCCTTTATCATCTGTTCCTTCTCCTTGATGATTTCCTCCTTCTCCTTTATTAACTGCTCCTTCTCCTTTATTAACTGCTCCTTCTCCTTTATCATCTGTTCCTTCTCCTTGATGATTTCCTCCTTCTCCTTTATTAACTGCTCCTTCTCCTTTATAACTGCTCCTTCTCCTTTATTCTCCTTTATTAACTGCTCCTTCTCCTTTCTCATCTGCTCCTTCTCCTTGATGATTTCCTCCTTCTCCTTTATTAACTGCTCCTCCTTTATTAACTGCTCCTTCTCCTTTATCATCTGCTCCTTCTCCTTGATGATTTCCTCCTTCTCCTTTATTAACTGCTCCTTCTCCTTTATTAACTGCTCCTTCTCCTTGATGACATTATCTTTCTCCTCAAGGCTCCGCTTCAGCTCCTCCACCTCATCACTGTCTCCATGGCCGTACTGCACCACCAGGAGCTCCTCCACCATCTTCTCCTGGGCTCTAATCTGGACCTTCTTTTCAGCCGCCTTTCTAGTCTTAGGTTCTTTCTGAAATATGATTTTAAAAAATTCAGTATATCTTTAAAAGCTAATAAAGTCAATATAATAATTTTAACAATAAAAAATACTTGAATTATTTCATACAAACATCACAATATCTCTTCATATCATCAAAACTTCTTTACTTTGAAACGGTCTTGCAGTCAATTATATTTGTGATGAGTAAAAACAGTTTTAATTTGTTTTATGACAAGGATTCAAATTATTTTGTTTTCAATGTTTACTTGCCACAGGCCCTGATAGATTTTTATACACTTGCCCATAAAGAACTTTTAAGTAATTGTCAGTAAATTACATTAATTTCTAACATATATATGTAACATAATATTTGTAAACATCATAAAGATTTACAATCACTGGTTAATTGCCCAAGGGAAAGTTGACATAAGTAGTTTTTGAGTAGAATTAATCAGTATTGATTGTAATATATCAAGTTTTTGCTTGTAGTTACTTTGGTTTTATATGCACATACTCTAGTTAAAATCTTTAATGTCTAGTCCCGTAGATCCAAATTAGACTTCATGAAGTGAGATACCTACTAGTATTTGGGTTTTGTCAAGCTGATTTTTCATATACTTTGTTACCAGCCAATATTATCTTAATCTATCCCTCCCAAAAGCCAAGCCTGCAATGTTGGCATTGGGTTATTTCTGAGCATGCTAGACACCGGCAAGATGAGATCTTCACTGCATATGACAGACATGTAAAACTGTAAAGTAACATGTCTTAGTAATGTTATGTTTTAACTAAATTGAAATCTACAATTAACAAATCCTTTAGCCTTCTTCTTTTGAGAATTGTGTCCTTTCAAAGTATTGCATACCTTTGTAGGTTCTGTAGCTTTGTCAGGGTTGGCCAGTTTCCTCTTTTTGGGCTCTGATTCCTTATCAGCATCAGCTTTCTTTTCCTGCTTCTTATCAGGATAGGCTACCTTCAGTAGAGTAACAATGCCTGCTTTGCAGCTTCTTCCTTGTCAGCTGAAAGGACAAAACAAACTCCAATGCAGGTACGATGTCATAGAAAACAAATTTCAACTGATATAAACACTTGGACAAGTGTAACTAAGGCAATAAAAAAAAAAAAATCTTGTTTTTACCTCTCCATGGAGCTAGGAAAATATAATCACTTGTTTTTTTAATTTTCCATTTCTAAAACATTTCAACTTAAAAAAGGTCTTTTCCTGATCATGCATATTACATCATATGAAACATTTTTAAATGAACTCATTTCTCCTTATCCTGACTCATGCTTATTGCTTGTCTTCTTCTTCTTGTTTCGAACCTAGTGGAACACTTGTATCTCCCAATTGAAGTTCTTCTTCAATAAAAATCACTCATTAGTACCCACCACGAGGTTACCTCCCTTCCACAATAGGTTGAGTTATAAAAATCGAGCGTCAACAAGCTGCAGTGCCTTATCCTGAACCCATGTCTTCTTCTTCTTGCCTCACTCTCTCCTTCTTACCCACCACGCCCAGTGAGCCACCCGAACCCACAGTGAGCAAGAGAGAGAGCACCTGTGTCTCCCTGCACACTATATCCTTTATTTATATTTAGTTTGTTACCTCTTATATTCATCTATAGAGGTGTTACTAGTATCATTATTCAACATGCATTGATAATTATTCGTGTTTCTGCTGCTTGATTCACGGTTCGCCGTGTTTACTCAGCAGTTTGCGTTAATAAAAATCTGCACTGTTTGTAAATTACGTTACTCTGCTACCGATCCACATTTAAAATGCCCTAGTTGCATTACTCCATGTTCTATTGTTTCTCGTTGTAAATTATGTATTAATTTACCAATTTCTGCCTTTGATAAATATTTATGTTCCGTTTTGAGACGGAAGGCAGATAAATCTCGGAAACAATCTTCAGTCATGGCTAATAGATCGGAGTCAGATATATCCTGAGTTACCTTCGGGGGATAAGCGTGGGACGCAGTCCGCTATATCCTAGAAGCGACCTGCTTCCCAGGACGTTCCTTCATCACAGTCTAAAACTAGAAGAGCTTCCACGTCGTCTCAACGTACGCTCCGAACCCCCAGGTCTACAGCCTCGTCAAAGGGAAATCCACGAAGGCTACTAAAAAACTTTGCTTCTGATATTCAGAATTATGTTTATATGATGATGACATTTCGATTATCATTCCAGATGTATGTCATAAGAAGTGACCAGTATCGGCTACCGTCACTTCAGCGCAGATCAACATGCAATCAGAGATGCCTACGCTGACGCCGGAGATTATAACTGAGGGTCTCGTCACTATCACAGAGAGGACACCCTCAACGCCAGCACAGACCATCCCAGACGACCTGGTCAACCAAATCATGAGGCTGATGGAAGACCGTTACGGCTTACAGAGGCCTCAGAGCCACGGGCCTCAGAGCCCACCCCATACTAAGTCATACAGGGCCTTAGAGCCCGCCTTGGCTTCGCGTAGGGCCTTTGAGCCCACAGACGCGCCTCCGCGAAGGGCAACCCAGCCCGTAGCGAACACTTCGCTAAGGAAGTCCCAGGCCGCCTCCGCGAAGGAGCTAGAGCCTCACTAGTTGCGAGGGACATCGCGGAGAAGGAGCGCTTCCCCGAGCCCACACCCTGTAGAACACAGAGGTCGTTCGCGAAGCAAGCGCTCATATATAGAGTTGCGGGAGCGCTTCGCCGAGCCCACACCCTGTAGAACACAGAGGTCGTTCGCGAAGCAAGCGCTCATATATTGATCGGACTCTAGACACTTCGCTAAGGAAGTCCCAGGCCGCCTCCGCGAAGGAGCTAGAGCCTCACCAGTTGAGAGGGACATCGCGGAGAAGGAGCGCTTCGCCGAGCCCACACCCTGTAGAACACAGAGGTCGTTCGCGAAGCAAGCCCTCATATATTGATCGGACTCTGACTCGATACTTTCGCGAAGGTCGCGAAGGCTAAGTGGCTCCAAGTCTACTTCACCCAGAAGATCTAGAAGCGTTACTTCGAGATCTTCGCGAAGTCCCCGGCGTTCGCCAAGGAAGTCTCCTCCAAGGTCTCCATATACTAGCCACTCGTCATAGATAGCCATTCGTCAGTCCGTTCAAGACATCGCATGAGTTGTCTATCAACTGTAAGCCATATGCCATCTACAAGCCTACGCGAAGACAATTGCACAGGCTATTTACAACACAGAACGTCGCTGTATTAATTTATCAACAGATGAAGAGCCTAATTAAGGATCTTCAAGCCGACTACCTACTACGATACGATTATCTACATGCGTGACCATTACGCAGATCTGCAGACAATTCAATAACGAAATTGAACAGCAGCCTTGTTACAACGAGTAAAACTCATAATCGTCAATGATTTCCTGAGAAGAAATATGTACAACAAGTTCAGCTTTAACAGTCTACAAGCTGACAACTTGCAAGGTTTATTGAACCTTATATAAGGAAGTCGGAATTATCTTCAAGACTGAAGTTACTTTCACGACAGCCTGGAAAATAACCTACCCAGCATTAATATTACAGAGCGAGGTATTTCGCGCCGGAGGTTTCGCGCGTTTACCATCAACCCTCGAAACACGTGGTCACTCGGGTAACTTCGGGAAGCTACGGTGAAGACCGACGATTGTTCTAATATCAACGACGGCACTATATTATACAAGGTTCCTTTTCCTGCTACACCGGTGACATCACAGCGCGGGTACTCTACAGAATCAAAATGCCTTGTTCTGATTGGACCGAGATGGACAACGCCCTACGCAGAGGTCGATCATAGTTCACAGTTCAACACATAGGTTGCAAGTGACAACAATATATCAGTGAACGAGCAAGCCTCCTTACAGTCCAGCTAATCTGAACCTTCATGATTGGGCTGCCTTCTTGAGGTTAGAGACCTCCCCTGTCAAGTAAGGACGAGGGCACGGCAGTCAGGCGATTTTTTACATAAAAGTTCAACGATGGCAGTCACCCCTGGTTGTGCACCTACATCGTCAAGCACTTCGCAGCGAATTTACCTCGACGACGGGATACAAATGGATCCAAATCCATAGCGTCTCAGACTACAGTTGAATTCATCATCAAGCTACTAACACAACTAGATGGTTAGTAAACCTACTAAGTTGGACCTAGAACCATCGCAAGATCTGCTAATTCTAGGTTTTTGATTTGTAACGGCGCAGAATCATATAATTGTACCGGAGAACCATGGATCAAGATCCAACAGTCATTTCCACAAGCCTTACTATCTCCGCTACCACTACGACAGTGACAGAGTCTGTTGGGGTTACGCACTTCAGCTCAGCTCAAGACATGACAGGCAGAGGCAGACTACAATTACATCCGTTACAAGTCATCATCAATTCGCATCTAGACGAATCTCTACCGTTCAATTCACCGGTTCAGGTCAAACCTCATCTACTATGGTGGACCAAGAGATCAATGTTTGAATAGGCGTCTCGTTAATAGAGCTGGAATCGATAACACTTCTCTACGTAGATGTGTCACTATAAGGTTGGGGAGCCCATCTTGCCAACAGGACGGCATCAGGGCTATGAGCAATCAAGAGAACAAATTACACATAAATCTGCTAGAGATGCAAGCAGTAATAAACGCCTTAATGCACTGGAGCAACTTACTACAGTATACCCAGTGGATGATTCACACAGTCAATTCGACAGTGGCGTTTTATGTGAACAAACTAAGCTCAACCAGGTCCCCGAACATATCGACTCTGTTTTCAATTGTTCGATTTAATCGACAATCTCAACATACATGTCAGAGCATATCACATTCCAGGAGCAAAGAATGTGATAGCAGACGCTCTCTCTCGGCCACACATACCGGAACCATCGCCGACAGAATGAATGCTCCTTACAGAGATATTCACTCAAATTATCAAGGAAATAGGAACTACACTAATAGACCTATTTACCACTCGATTCAACAAACAACTGACAACATTCGTATCGCCAGTTCCAGACCCACTAGCATTGGCAACAGACGCACTAAGCATATCGTGGGAAGGACTCAACGCGTACGC